AGCGTAACTGAACAAGCGGAGGTTAAAAGCCGATTGGCTATCATGCACAAGACTGAGTGAACCAGCTTTTGTAAATCTCCCCCAATGAGACCAGACAGCCAGGCAACTAGGCAGTAGCTCTGCTATGAAACCAAATTATTTTTCTCATGACAGGTGTTCATTGAGAAATTACCCAACACACTGTCATGGCATAGCAATGGGATAAGGGGTTCAGCAATTTCTTTTTGACACTGCAAGTATTTATTTACTTATATGCTTTACCTAAAAAGGGAACCCTGTCAAGATGGAATCCACCATTGCCAAGTTTTTGAAGAGGCATGATCCAGGGCTGCCATGTTGTTCTTTGCTTTCCCACTGATATGAAAAAATTAAGTGCCACACATGCTGGTTCTGGGTTAGTTGATAAAAGGAAGATTACTGCACCAAAGCAAGCACCCTCTAAAACAAGGGAGTCCTTGGTTCTCAGTTCTTTTAAAAGAAATAGGCCACAACTGGACCATGCTACAATGCTTTAGGGCTGTAAAGATTGTTCATCCTTGTCAATGTTATATGAAATCAATGTAACAGAATAGTCAGCATGTAAAGGTAGAGCACTGAAGACATGCTAGTGAAGCCAAGAGCAGCTCAGGGTCATTCCAGGACAGCAGGCAGATTGCTTTCTTGGAAAACTGGTCTGCTCAGAGTTGCTGAAGAAAAAATCTGCTGATTTAAACGACCACTAATCCTAAAGTGCAGTGTGCTTCATCCACGATGACTACAATTACAATTTACAACTGTAGAAGTAATAGTTTCAGGAGCTATTCCTGTAAATGGTAAATTTTCTGCAAGTTGAGAGTATGATAGAAGGCTACCTGGGACACTTTCAAAGAATTTTTTTTTTTTTTTTGAGTTTTGGAGTGATGTACCAAGCAGGAGCACAGGGGTGTTTTTTTTATTCCACATACATTTATTTTGGGATCACCTGCTAAACAGATTTATTTATTTTCCTGTAAGCCTGTAGTTCACTCCTAACACTTCAGTCTGCCTAAAATGAAGCTCCTGTACTTCTTGAGCAAGGGTCTCCAAACTACAGCCCACAAGATTTTATCCTGCCCACAGCTGATGTGCACAGTCTCCGCTACAATGGTGACCCTGATGAAAGGATGACTTTGATGGCAACCTTGCATTAAAGCAGATGCTGAAGCTAACAGACTGCATTTTGCAAGTGCAGTTGCAGTCATTTTCCCCAGTGGTTAGTGAATGTGGTGAAGTTTCACTTTGTAAAAAAACACCCAGGTGCAAGGAATATATATTTATAAAAAAAAAAAAAAAAAAAAAAAAAAAGTAAAAAATGTGATGAAACCCTACTGGATTTCCATCATCCAATTATCTGCAAACAAAAATGCTGTTTATTTTCCTTACAGCTGGTTGGGTATTCTTTATCAAGTGACGCTTCACCACATTCACTAAGCTCTGGGGGAAAATGAGCGCAACTGCACTTGCAAAGTGCAGTCTACTTGCTTTTAGTAAATCAACTCCAGAATGTATTTTGGTTAAAGGCTTTAGTTTTTTTGGAAGCTATTTACTTTATGATCCAGGATAACAGAGCAATGGAAGATAATCATGAGGACTATGAAAGAACTCCACATAAAAAGGCTTCATTTATAAAACTTTTTCCTGCCCATGAATATTTGTAAAATATATGATGTGGCCAATGTTCTGGAACATTTGGAGATCTTTGTACTTGAGTAACAGGCACCTGAGCACTCAGGAGTGAAGAGGCACCATTTAAACCCATGGCATTTTTAATCCTGAGCATTTTGTAGTTGCAAGCTCCAAACTGATCAGGTCTAAGTACCCGTTCACACCAAAACACGGTGCAAGAAACACTTCTAGCACATCTCCTGCACTGTGTTCAAAATGCACTGCAGTTGCAATCTGCTGCGGGTATCAATGTTAAGTTAACGACACCCCAGACATGTCAGAAAGCAGTGCATTTGCTTGCACCAGATCAGATGCTACCGAAGTACCATGTGATCCAATTGCAGTGCATTTGTTAAAGGAGTGTAAGTACTACTTTTGGTGCAGTCCAGTGTGATTCAAAATGAATAGACCTCACCAGAATCACAAAGGGAACCTGCAACGATTCTGGTGTGACCACCCTAAACAGGGCTTTAATGTGCAATTTTACTTTCATTAATATAGATGTAACACAGGTCTAGGTATATTTTGTACACATTATCTTGTTTTAGGAAAGTATAATAGAACTAAGAACACAATTCTAGAATAGAGAACTTCCCTGGTGCACATGGATTATTTGTTTTTGCTGCTTCCTTTTCAGTGCCTTTATCCAGAAACCTTGCAAGTCAGTTTTTAATGTGTTGTAAGGCAAGGATGCCAACAGGCCACAAAGAAAGGAATCAAATTTTGAATTTGAAAAGGGGAAGCATGAAACCACAATATAATGCCAAATATTACTGCAAGTGTAGATTTTCCCTGAATTCCTGAAGTTGACTTTAATATAGTAAAAAGAGCAAGCTAGACGGAACAGCTTTTCTTCCTTCAGCTACACTAGGCTGTTAATAGGTGATCTATGATATAGTTGAACATAACTGCTCATGGCCTCATTCATCCAAGGGAGCATATAGCAGTCAATAATTAATGCACACAATAATGATAATCAATGGTGCCAGATTGTTAACTACTTCATGTTTCATATGAAACACGATACGTGCAGTATACAAAGCAGTATGTGCATTTTTGCTTCATTTATTTAGTAGGAAATGCATGTAGTTGGCTGTTAATTGATGTAAATGTACATAAAAACTGAAGTAGAAAAATACATAAAAACTGATTTACAATATACACCTTCCTTCAACCTGAACCTACATGCTGCATAAAACTGCAGACAATTCTGCTCATGTAAAAGGAAGACCAACAATATAAATCACACAACTGTAAAAACTAAAATATAAGCCTTTATGTAGGTCTGGTAACATGTACAGGGATATAGATAAAAGTATTTGAAGCTTTTCAAAGCTTTTTTTTTTTTGGGGGGGGGGGGGGGGGGTTCTGCTAGAGCAAAAAAACTGACTTGTGGCCGAGCAGTTTGTACCAAACATTACAGTCAGTCTCTTCTCTGTGTGTTCCCTGCCTAATATAGCTGAACGCAGCCAGTGCTCTGCTACAAAGAGCATTAAAAAATCATGAAATAAATAAATCGACCTCCTCCTGAAATTGGCAGCTGTTTGACTGGTATGCTGTTGCTGTGAGCTCAGTACCTTCAGCCACTGACGTGGAACAGTCATGCAACCAGGTAAGTCAGAGCCCTTAATCTGCAATTGTGTTCCCAGGCATTGACTCCCAAAGTCACTGAAGCCAGGAAATCAGCATTACAAACAATTGCCAAAAAATGGCAGTCTATTTCTATCAGTAACGGTTTCCTTTAATACTTGCAACTTTGTAAATCTGAAAAAATTGCACATGGTAGCTAATGAGGTTTGTTTCAGTTGATAGAAAAACTCATTCAGGTTATGAGGTCTGACCTGTACCAATTTTTTCATTTTATTTTTTAAAGGGCCTTTATAAGACAGTCTTGGGTAATACCTAGTAAAATTTTAAAAACCTGAGCAAACTCCTGAATACCAGGCCAGCCAAATACTATATTTTAAGCTATGCCAAGCCCACAGAAACATCCTGCAGCTGCTCATTCATAGCTCTGAGCATCCCAAAGAAATGTGAGTCTGCAGCTGACTCCTAGCACACGACAGCACTGGTTTTCATATAAGGAAGCAGAACCAATGGTGGGAAGGAGGGGGGAGACACCATAACCCGAGGGCTCATGAGCAAGGAGAAAAGTGCTCATATTAAACTATTTTGAATGTTTCCCTTTTATCACTTAAGGCTGCCATGCACAGCTCACATATTGGCCAATTCAAGCCCCTTCAGCAACACCGGGTTTGACTAAAGTTGCCTGGAAAGTTGATTGTAAATTTATCAGCTGAACAGTGACTGCATCCTATCATATGCATTCACTGTTTAGGTATTCAAGCAGCTGTGGGTGCTGGCTGTCAAAATTCAAGAGCTGGCAAGAAAATTCATCCATCCATTTAGCATGGATAGAGGGATCTGCTAGATGTCTTTGGCTCGGCATATTGGCTGAATGAAATCTATGCATATATGGCTACAGCATGGGGTTTCATTCAAACTGTATATTTTGTACATTTTACGGCATTTACCAGTACAGGCAATATACAGGAAATTTGTGTTACATTCTAGATTTTTGATACACTGGCCTGTACTTTGCTTAGTCAGGTGAATATATAAAAACACAAGTGAAACTGGATAACAATGCACATAATAATACAGATCTCGTGTATAAAGGCATTTGGTTGCGTCTGAGTATAGAAGTGAATGAGAATGCAAAAGTAACAGAGATAAGGTATATGACCGGTCCCTTAAGACCTGCATTCTGGCGTGAATGAGCAAAGTTTTAAAAAAGAACCTTATATAAAGAAGCTGTCAAGTCATCACTCATCATGAATATATATTCCCCATTCCTACTTCAATGAGCGCCTTGTATGTTGAATGTTCACTGTATGTGCAGGAAATTAACCATTTAGACAATCACTGTGTAAGCATTGGCCAGATTAGTAAACAGTGTGTTCAGCCAAGGAACACTGAAAGAGGTTGATGTGTAATATTCTGTATACTGCATGTTCCCCTGCAGTGACAGCAGAGCCTCAGTTATGGCACAAATTAGAAGAACTAGAACAAAACTCTTCACTGTGCGGCAGCTTCCCGCTGGCTCTGCTACGTCTTTGAACCACTCAAGCCATTGGAGAAAACATACTTTTTTTTATAGAAAATCCTAGAGCTTGGCCTCCATTGCTTTGCCAAACTGTTTTAATGAAAAACAAAATGTTATAAAGTTTTACAATAAAGTTTAACAACGTAAATACAAATTTCATTCTCTCTCCAAAACAATAAATAAATAACTTAACTGTCCATATAAAGGGGTGCTAAAGAGGGCTGGCCTCCTCTTCCAATGATCTGTTTAGTCCAGGAATAAACTTTAAGAGTCTTTTGCGAAAACTTTTGTGTTTTTTTTCCTGGGTAAAGATACAAATGTACTCTGCTCTTTTGGCTTATCCCAGTTCGTTGCAGGGCTTGCACACTTTACACTTGAGCTACGAGTCAGTGGTGACTTAAAAGGCTTGAGTGTGTTTTTGTTGGGAATGTTGTTGATTTCATCTGTAGAGTCTGAGCTGAAGTAGCAGGTCTGATACACAGCATCCTCATTGTCTTCAGCAGTACTCAAGCAACTTGCACTACTGCATATACTTCCAGTGGCCAAGGTGCTTGGTTCTTTGGTGCATTGAGGCACTGTCCCATAGATGTATGACCTGACGGATTCCAATGTGTCATACACGCTGGGGTCCTTCACAACAATGCCTAGAAAGAACAAGAAATAATTATTTCTGCAATCCAAAAAAAACAAACTTCAATAATTGCATCCCAAAATAAACATCTTCACTCGCAAATGCCAATATGAGAACCATTTCCCAAGCAAGCTGTTCTGAAAAACAATACCCTTTGGCTAGGTTCACATATATGTGAATTTGGATGTGTTTTGAACTGCACCAATTTGCATGACATGTGAACCAAAAGGCTTTTCTGTGGAGCCCGTTCACATATGTGCAGGCTGGCCATAGTAAGATTTGAAAAAAAAAGCCTGTGCTATTTTCAGTCCAGTTCATGTGTGGTTTCCAATTGCCTACATTTTGACAATTTGCATTGGAATCACGCCTGAACTGCTGAATGAAACTGCACTGGATGGCGCTTAAAAATTGCACTGCAAACCAGCCCACACATATATGAACCCGGGCATAAAGCTTGCAATTTTGTTTATGTAGACCACACTTAGAATTTTCTGCCTAAAGCTAGTCATACAAAATATAGAGCAATCAGCCAAAATTCAGTAGGAGACCCTGCAAGAACAAAAATGTTTGGCTGAGCAGCAGGTACAGTCAAGTACTTGAATTCGCTGGCTGTAATACCCGATTAGTGTCTGCATCAACCCATGGAATTTGTGTGGATGAAAAAAAAAAAAAAAAAAAAGGGGATGACCTAAAGAAGTCTATTATAGTATGGCCAACTTAAGCAGTGGTTGAAAGATGTAAAAACGGGTGTGAATGAAGAATCAAAAGGTTTCAGACATGCATTTTAACCACTCATTCCTGTTCTCCACCACCTCCCATTCCAGCAGATACTTTCAACGCTAAATCAGAAAAATCACCTAGTATGTAGGGGATGAATATAGTACAGAATATTATTTCTGGTGATTATATCCAGCATTGTACATAGCAGAAATACAGTACATATATATTTGCAAGATATTTTGAAATTAAACTAAATTAAAATTGATTTCCAAATCAGACACCCCCCTCCAATTTAAAAATTGGACACCAACACAAACAGCAATTTATTGATTCATTAAAGGCACAATTCTGTAAAAATGATGTACAGCCCTGGCCAAACGTTTTGAGAATTCCAAATATTAATTTACCTGCAAGGAAACACATGCAGCCATCATTGCTTTGCACAAAAAGGGATTCAGAGGCAAGGATATTGCTGCTACTAAGATTGCACCTAAATCAACCATTTGTCGGATCATAAAGAACTTCAAGGAGAGAGGTTCAATTGTTGTGAAGAAGGCTTCAGGGTGCCCAAGAAAGTCCAGGAAGTACCAGGACCACCCCCTAAATTTGATTCAGCTGCAGGATCAGGGCACCACCAGTGCAGAGCTTGCTCAGGAATGGCAGCAAGCAGGTGTGAGTGCATATGCACACATAGTGAGGAGAAGTCTTTTGGAGGATGGCCTGGTGTCAAAAAGGGCAGAAAAGAAGCCACTTCTCTCGAGGAAAGATAACAGGGACAGCCTGATATTCTGCAAAGGGTACAGGGATTGGACTGCTGAGGACTGGGGTAATTTTCTCTGATAAATCCCCCAATTGTTTGGGGCATCCGGGAAAAAACCTTGTCCGGAGAAAAAAAAAAAAAAAAAAAGCGCTATCAGTTCTGTGTCATGCCAACACTAAAGCATCCTGTGACCACTCAGCCAAGGGAGTGGACTCACTCACAATTTTGCCAAAGAACACCTGAGCCATGAATAAAGAATGGTACAAAAACATCCTCCAAGAAAAACTTCTCTCAACCATCCAAAACAGTTTGGTGATGAACAATGCCTTTTCCAGCAAGATGAACCACCTTGCCAGAAGGCAAAATTGATAAGATGCTTGGGGAACAAAACATCGAAATTTTGGGTCCATGGTCAGGAAACTTCCTAGACCTCAATCCCATAGACGGGTGAACAAATTCTGACAAACTCCAAGCATTGAGTATGCAAGAATCGGCTGCCATCAGTCAGGATGTGGTCCAGAAGTTGGTTGACAGCAAGGCAGGACGAATTGCAGAGGTCTTGAAAAAGAAGGGTCAACACTGAAAATATCGACTCTTTGTATAAACGTAATGTAATAGTCAATAAACGCCTTCGACATTTCCTAAATGCTTGTAATTATACTTCAGTATACCATAGTAACATCTGAGAAAAAAAAAAGATCTAAAAAACACTGAAGCAAAAGACTTTGTGAAAATTAATATTTGTGTCACTCAAAACTTTTGGCCAAGGCTGTATTTTATGAAATTTGTATAACACGGCAACATCACTAATCTAGATCTGAAGCTGTAAATAGGGGGCAACTCATACAAAAACACACATGGCATGACAAAAGATTTATAGCCATCAGTTTTTGTTTCAACTATAGATAAAAAAATGGATCCCTAGGCAGCAATGACAGACGTCTTTACATATGGCATCATATGTTTTCAATCTATATATTCCAGATTTTGTAGTATGAATTATGGGTTTTACAAGTGTTAAATCACAGCCTTACAAAACACTAAAGAACTTTAATTTCTCCAATATGTTTCTCCTGTGCTCCCAGTCAGGCCATTATATTGAGTGTTCCCTAAGGCTGTCTAAAGTATTACAGAAAGAAGAAGGGCACAGAGGCCGATAGATTTACAGTGTTCCTGCCAAACACTGAACAATTCTACCATGTTCTTAATCAAAGGACACAAGGGGCCACACTCATACCAATGCTTGGTGGGGGGCATATCCCCCCAGTGTATATTGTGATATTATACAGGATTTATATAGCACCAATAGTTTGCACAGCACTTTGAAACATGAGGGCAGACAGTACAGTTACAACACAATACAGGAGGAATCAGCCCTGCTCGTGATGATACCTTTTGGTCCTTAACATAGCATAGTGGAAGTAGGGACAGGACAACTGCCAAAAGGTAAACTAAAGGCTCCCTGGATCATCGTATAAAATGGTCAGTTCGCAAAGTAAGTGGAAATTTGCATGTCAGGCTATTGAATCACCCAGCCTAAAGACTATCTGGTAGACATGTGCGATTCGTTTAATTAGAAATCAATATTCAAACAAAAATTTGTTATTCGGAGATTCAGATGTATCCAAAATCTCCAAAATGACAATAGTAACGAATTTCAATTAATCTGAAATAAATAACAAATTCATTTGTTTCATATAGATGAAATGAGGCGATTGTTAGGGCCTTTTCTGAATGCTTGAAGCATCCAAAATAATGTAATTGATTTGGATCCATTTTTTTTTTTTAAACTGACATTTGATTATGAAAAACGCACTATATATGAAATGGAAATATATTGCATAAATACAGCAGGGTATCAAAGTGTAATAAATTCTACCAAGAGTCCATGCACATTGGGCTTAAAATGCTAGTTTTCTTGGCAGAAGAAAAGCTCATAGCGAGTTTTTGTACAGAAGGTTGGGAGCAAACAGTATTTTTTTTTCTTCCAGAAAACTGCTCTCAAAAATGCAAACCAGGTTTTTTTTCTGCCTCTAAATGCAGAGCTTAAAATATGCCTCTATGTGCATGGACACATAAGATAACACTGAGCTGCTTCTACAGGCAAAAACGCAAAACTGTAGAAGCAGCGTTTTCTTAAAGTCAGTGTGCATAGACCCTTATTGTGCTTGGGTTGGATGGAAGTGGATCCATCAGAATTTCCAAATCATAGCATAACAAATGAATCCAAAATTTGTTTGTTTTTTTCAGATTCACGGAACTCTAGTAGATATCATCCAATCAGCTTATTCCATTTCTGTTTGTGGGCTGGACTAGCAGGGATGACTCAGAGTGCATAAGTAATCTCCTGAAATAACGAACTACCGTGTTACTATGAATATAACAATTTTCCAAAATAACTTCCGAAAATATGAAACAAATCGGGACGAATATCGAAAATTAATCTGACAAAACGAAATGATTTACTTGAATCCCAAATAAAACTAAAATTCTTGTGTCATGCTCATCTCTCAAATCTGGGTCCAAAGACCAATGCTCTTTCAGAGGGTTAGTATGATCCTATACTACAAAGGCTTCTATTGGGGCAGTGTTTAAACAGTCAAAAGGAGGAGAGATAAAAGAATTTTAAATAAAAAGGTTAAGACCAGGAAACATTGGTAGTTTGGGTCACACAGAAAGTGATAGTTCAGACCTGCTGAGCGGACTTACCTCAGATATTAGCCTTAAAAAAGAAGTTTAGAAATATGTTTTTTTTAAATACTTACCTAGGTGGATGCGGCATTGATTTGATGCTGTATCTGTTCCCTGCCCCTTCTAAGGGTGAAAACTGAGTGATCTGACACAGCTGATCGCTCAGTTCTTCCCCTCCACTCTGAGCAGACAGCTAGGATTGTCAGGTCTCCAGCGCTCTACTCTGCTAATCTGCCCACCCTAGGTGCTCACTGGAGAACTGGGCTGTGGAGGGGGCAGGAGGGGCTGGCTCAGGCTCACAGCAGATAGCCAAGAGGCTGAGCCAGCTTCTGGTCCAGGATCTTTCCCCAGCCTGGACCAACTGAGTGACATCAGCTGACAGCGGATTTTAGCTCGCTGACAGCTCAAAATGGGTCACAGGAGTGCAAAATGAACTGCACTCCTGTAATCCACAGGAGTACAGCCAAATGAGCTTTGGCTGTAGTTCTCCTTTAACTGCTATTGAGCACAACCCAACACTCTACAGTAGCAGCAAGATTATTTGCAACATAATACTTTTATCAATAGACAAAAAAAAAAAAAAAAAAAAAAAAAAGGAAGAAGAGGTTGCACTAAATTCTGGGAAGCATAACTTACAGCACAGATCTGTGAGAAAAGAGAACATGACTCACTAAAACAGGAACATTTTAGGAGAAGAAAGTACTTGTTAAACAAAATACCAATGATTAATTGGTAACACATTGTAACCGGTTATATGACCTCTCTCCTGCAGGGTTACTAGCTCTGAAGTGGTTTGCTCCCAACATGCAATAACCACATGTGGGGTAAGAAGTAAAGAATTAAATACAGGACACTTACCATGTAGGAGTCTCTGCTCCTGCACCATGAGCGAGCGATATTCCTCCCATTTCTCATACAAAGTTTGCTGCAAGGACGATAAAGGAGAAACATCTGTTAACTTTTACTCGTATCCAATAATCTGGCTAACCAAATACATGTGCATATTACTTTGATCTTAGCAGCTCATACTGTTATTAAATACGTAAATCGATATCTAAATTTAGGGCAGATATTAAAACAGAACATTAATGTATTAATTAAACGTTTTTTAAAGGCATCTAGTGTAAGTTCCCAAATTAGACTTTTTTTTTTTTTTAAAGATCTTCATCCCAAGCATGTTTAGATCAGCCTTTAACAATCCAATGCACAGTTCTGACTGGGAATAGGTGAGGAAAGCAGGTCTGCTGGATTGTGGATGACAAGGAACATGCTCATGAGAGAGAGTTAAAAGAATGAGCACATCAGTCTGTTGTTCCTTTTTTCACTGTCTATAATGGGCTGACAGTAGGGAAGTGACCTAGCTGTATTACTTAACTGCTGTAAAGAAAAGTTAGACCGCCTAAACTGCTCTGCCGTCTTGCAGAATTATCTAGATATACTTTATTTTTTTCCAAACAATCAGAACATCATGAAGCAGGACTCTGAAGTGCTATTGAAATAAAGGTGTGGTGTAAAACATATGTAACACACGAGTCTTTGCTGGATATCCGGTCATTATTAACCACAGATTCCAGTAGCTGCCATCTGCATTGATAGAATTGCTGTAATCAGCCACAAGGGCTTCTGTGTAGCCCAATACTGCAACCCCCCAACAATACAGACTTAACAAGCAGGTAGAGCACCCCTGACTTATGACAGCATACCTGGAAATGGAAAACACAGCGGTAAGTATACACCACATTATACCATATCTCTCATGGCAGTTTAGATTTATGCTCTATGGAGTTCATTAAAAGGATAAGTTCACCTTTTAACAAAAAATAATAAATGCATATTTTTTTTCCAGGTAAAAAAAAAAATATGCATTTACTATTTTTGTTTTAGGAGCCTGGAAAACATTGCACCAGCAATCAACAGATCGCTGGTGCCATGCAGGTCTCCTGCAGACTGTCAGTGTAATCTGTCTGCTCATACAAAATCAGGCAGTTTTACACTGACAAAGAATCAATGAACTACCACAGCACTCACCAGCAGTGAGGTAGTTAAGAACTACAAGCAGACAGCTGCATAAGGTTGTCAGGGCTTGTAGTTTCCCCACTAGTGGTCACAACGGGGGATTGGGGGTTGTAGGGGCCAGTCCCAGAGTAACATGTTACACAAGATGAACTTTTCCTTTAATTCTCCGTTCACACCCATGCAGGTGTGGCAGTGCATGTGTATTTTTTGTTCTGTGTGTAACATTTAGGGCAGCCAATTCATTTCAATGGGCTGTGCCAAGTGCGAAAAGAGCACAAAAATGCATGACCCTATTTTTTTTAAACCACACTGCACCAAAATGCATGGTAATATGTTTCCAGGCGTTTTTGGCAAACGCAACATCACATGCATTAGCACAGGTGCATTGGGGTGTCATTAACAATGAATGGCACCACTGCAAGCCAACAAAAGGAATGTGCTTTTTTTGTGCACTGCGGGGAAAGTGTACGATTTTGCACACATTCCCCTAATGCACAAATGTGAACCTAACCGAACATCTGCCTGGTAGCATATGAGTAACAGATAAACATCAGATGATTAATGTGTTGCATCAGCTGTGGAAACCGTTCAGGATGCCCAACATTTTTGTTCAAAACTGAAAATATTATAGTTAGTCTACTACGTGGTCATGCTCATTTCATTACTGCTACATACCTTTAGATACTGGAGCCTGGCCTCCAATTCAGCTCTCCTGATGGAAGAACCATAAACAGTCTCCAGCCTGTCAATACAAAAATATACATTGAAGCTGCATGCTCCAATAGTAGTTTACAAGACATACATACAGGGAAAGCCAAAAAAAAAAAAAAAAAAAAAAAAAAAACGCAAGTAAAGCACAACCAAAACATTTGTCTTAATTCAAATGTTACCTTATTTTATTCCCAGAAACCTTTATCAGCTCTACAATTTCCTTGTGTCTGATTCCTTCCACATTGAGACCATTAACTCCAGCAATTATATCACCTAAAAAAAAAAAAAAAAAAAAAAAAAAAAAGGGACATGTAAGGAGGACATCATACCTTTTACCCAAGGATCAAAGTTGTTTAATGATCTGCTACACATATATTGCAATAGCTTTAGGAAAAGTTTTCTCAAATTAGGAAGGATAAAAGGTGTGGAATAAGAAACACAGAATGAAACATGAATCCATAAACTGCCAGCTTATGTATAATAAAAACAGTAAAGGAGCTTTTAATAGTGCCATAAACCATTACTCCAATATCCGGTTTTTCCAGCCTTCACTAATCCCAGAGTAACTCTGTACCTTCAAGTGACTAACAAATCAGATAAAAAACTACCAGTCCTCTATAAAGCTGACATTCAAGTTGGTAAGGTTAGTAAAAAAAAAAACCTGGCTACATAAGGTGGGGTGTTTTGGAGACCAACATATCAGGTAGCAAAGAATGAAGATGTAATCACCTGATTGTTGTTTGGGGTAACAAGTTTTTTTGTTTAATCAGTCCCACAAATTACAAGTATCTTCTTTGCAATTACAGTCTTGCGTAAAACAAATAAAAAAAATTAAATACAATTTTGTCACTATTTTTAACTAATGGACTTCTAATGTTTACCTAAATGTGGTGGTTCTCATTACCACCTCCTCCTCCATTCCCCCCCAGCTCCTCATCCTTACCTACTCCCCCCTTCTTTCTCCTACCCATACACCCATTATATTCACCCCCTATACTTGAATTCACCACATGTGCTGCCAAAGTAGAGTTAGGCATGGCTGACCCCAACCTCCAGTAGCTCAAGGCACTCGCCTCCCATATTTACCCCATAGGGAGGTATGCTCATTACCGTACATTATATAATTGCAATACCTCAGGCAGCTTGACACAAATAACCAGAAATTGCAACTGCCTCCACTGTGCTGTGGCCACACTATAAACGCATATGACAAACTGGGCATCAATGCCTACAGTTTCATTGTTTAGGAATTATGACTATACGAAATTTGTACCCTTTTTGACATTTATTTCTCTTAATCTGAAAATCAAAAATGCATTGAATAAAAATGATATTACAAATAAAAGTAAACCTGAATTCTACTACACCAACCTATTAACTCAGTCTTGAAACCACAAAGCCTAAAACATGCCAGTAACGCATGCCTGGTAGCAGCTTTGGGTTCTCATTCAAACATCTGTCAGTGTTGCAAATCACTTACCTCTAGTGATAACCAGGAGCACTGGACAGGATTGCTTTATGGGCAGTGCTACTGATTGGCAGCCTTTGGATAACCATTCAATAAGTAGCACTTCCTGCATACATCCAGTGTTGTGGCCGAGCACCAGTAACAGGGTCATACATCCAGCCCTCAGTTTTGGCCGAGCACCAGTGGCATGCATCCAGCCCTGTGCTGTGACCGAGCGCCAGTGCCTGAGGCATGCATCCAGCCCTGTGCTGTGACCGAGCGCCAGTGCCTGAGGCATGCATCCAGCCCTGTGCTGTGACCGAGCGCCAGTGCCTGAGGCATGCATCCAGCCCTGTGCTGTGACCGAGCGCCAGTGCCTGAGGCATGCATCCAGCCCTGTGCTGTGACCGAGCGCCAGTGCCAGAGGCATGCATCCAGCCCTGTGCTGTGACCGAGTGCCAGAGGCATGCATCCAGCCCTATGGTGTGGTTGAGCACCAGTACCAGAGACTGCAGGAGCCCAGATCTGCCAACAAGATTAGTTTACAGAGGGGGAAGAAAATACAGGAAACTTGTAATGACGTTTAGATGCAATTCAGTCTTTAAACTAAGTGGGTTTGCTATCTGGATGCTCACAGCTTTTTACATTGCCTCATGCTATCTAGCCTAGTTGTAGTTACCAAGATTGTTAAATGGATTGGAGAAATGGTAATCCCTAATAAAAAAAAACATGTTGTATGAGCTGTATAAACAAAAAACACCACATGGTGATTACCTAACAGTAAATACATAAATATGCTCAGCTATCTATAACTCATTGTTGGCCTCTGCTCCTCTTGGCTGCTGTCAATATGTCCTCTGCACTTCCTCACAGATAAAGGAGGATGCTAGGCAGGGGACTTCAACTTCATGGATTCCACGAAATCTCTATGAAATCTGGCAACTTTGATTAGAGCAGGAACAGAAGTTCATGCTCTGTACATTACTGCATGGACACAATTGGAGGCTCCTTTCCAAGCCTTAGCTTGCCCGAGTCATTTCCTGCAGAGAACATGTTGGAGAACATAGAAAAGCAACAGGGACGCGAACAAAAACATTCCCACTGACATAAGCTTCATATTAACACACTGCTGTTCAAAGTAAAATATGGCCAAACAGACCACTGCCACGAATGGGAGATTTACTGAAAAGTGAAAAACATTTCAGAAACATAACTGAACAAGAGACTCATCTTTATTTTTTGGCTGAAGTGGATATAAAGCGGGGAACAAGATTGAGGTATCTACACCATATAAAGTATGGAAGGACTTTAGTTAGAACCCTTTTAAACAATATTATACCAAAACTAGGATAAAAAAAAAAAAAAAACTTCAAGAGAGGCAATCTAAAATGTACTATTTTTACTCCTGTCTTACAGGAAACCAAAAAAAAAAAATCATCAAGAATACGTTTCTTTGTAATAGTGTCACACCACACGTCTGCTTACGTATGTAACCAACGGTGAATTACAGTGATAGGGAAAACCCGAGCCCCCAACCAAACGTTTCAAATGACTGAAGGTGGAGATGATGGTAATTGAAAAAATGGCATGTGTGACTATCTAAAAATTACTGTCAGGAAGGTGTTCAATTACACAGGAAGTCACCAATAAACCACTTGCATTTCTTACCAATGACAGCAGCATGATAATATGAGGAAATTCCAGATAAAAAGCATGCATACGCAGCAGTTTAAGTGTACCTCATGTCTTTTGGCTGAAGTGTCAGCAGTTATCTGGAGGTATAAGAGAAGCTGACTTACCAACTTTTAGGCCACACAGCATAGCGGGGCTTCCTTCATGTACCCGGCAGACAAATGTAAACATTTCCACTGTATTCTTGTCTTTATGGTGCAATCCATAGGTCTGCAAAAAAAAAAATAAAAATAATGATCTCTTACATCAGGTTTATAACCAACCACACAGTGGTCTCCAAAATGAGACTAGGCAAGACGATTGTGCGTACTTTCCAGCCTTAAAAATATGCAGCATGGTAAAACACGGGCACAGCGTTCCTAAGGCAAGGAATACTTTTCAGGACAATCACAAATTCACGTTTCCTAATCGACTATCCCTGTTCCACACTTGTTTACCATTTTTGACTAAACTGACCAGCTTCTGTGCTGCAAGCTTTTATTTTACGGCTTTTTTACATCTTCAGCTGAGAAAATGTTGTGGAGTAGTTAGTTTTGTGTGGGATGTGACAAAGGGAAGGGTTAGGGCTACATGTACCACTAGATGTGAAATTGTTCACACGCATTGCACGCATCTTGCCCCAGACAGCAGTTTACTGGCAGACATCTGCTAGAGTCCTACTCACGCTGGATCATGGCCCCGTCCAGCAGAAGAGACTCATTTCATGTCTATGGCTAATGCTGTGCAGAGCTGCACATAGAGGATATCTGCTAGCTGGTCAATGTAAAGCTGCGGTCTTTTCAGTATAAGTACATTAGTGTCACTTTAGCAAAATGGATGTAAAGAATTGCAGATAACCTTTGTATACAGTACTGGATAATTTGATTTAGGAGGCCCAAGATAAACACCTGCCACAAGAATATAGGGAAATAATGGCAATATGCAAACATTCAGCCTGGCCACTTCCTAGCAACTGACAGGAGGCTGCCCTGGATGAACACTTTACCAGCTGCTTCTATTTGCTTAACAGGTGATAATCCAAAGCCCTGTGTAGGTGAACGGAAAACCGCAGTTACTTATTAACCAGCTGTTATATTTATATTTACAGTGTACACTGAATAAAACTATTCATATCAATATTATATGTGGCCACTGTTGGTTTAATTAACCCCTAGCACGCAGATTGCATGCCTTTTACTGGTACATGTAACAAAGCCTCTTGTAATATGTGCACGTCCTCCGTTCATTCAAAAGTTGTCCCATAGCACGGAACACGCTGTTGATTTTTCCACTTAATGGCATTTTCATATCAGGCGCACTCAGCATCTGTGCTCAGCACAGTCCCAATGCAAGACTTGTTCCCTATCGTTTCAGCTCACACCACTATGCTTGTGGATGTGTGACAGGTATAAAAGTAGTACGACATTAAGAACTTTTTTTAGTGCAACGTTGTGGGAAAATACACCACATTAACCACTTCCAGTCCGGACACTTTTACCCCCTTCCTGTCCAGGCCAATTTTCAGCTTTCAGTGCTATCACACTTTGAATGACAATTGCTGGGTCATGCAACACTGTACCCATATGAATTTTTTAGCATTTTTTGAGACAGATAACGCTTTATTTTGGTGGTATTCACCACTGGGATTTTTATTTTTTTTGATATGCAAATTAAAAAAAGTCCAAAAATTTTGAAAAAAAAAGTTTTATAAAAAATTTTTCAAATCAATAGTATTTCATCATAAATCTCGGCCAAAATTTATTCAGTTATATTTTTAGTAAAAAAAAAAATAAACCCAAATTAGTTTAGAACCAAAAATTTTAATATTTAAACTTTTTTTACATTTGTTTATATTTTTATTTAAAAATTTTTTACATACTGTCACCCTAGCAATACAGTGTCACCATGGTGACACTACTAGTGGGGGGGGGTGATGAAGATTTTTTTTTTTTTTTTTTTTTTTTTTTTTTTTTTTTACACGGATTACTTTTATACCATAAAGGATGTAAAAGCAATCATTTCTTTTTCTCTCTAGCTGCATTTCTGCAGCCATTGAGAACTACTGAGTGAGCTGTGATTGGTCACAGCTTGTCACATGGTACAAGGCTGTTGTGAATAGCCTTGTACCATGTGACCTCTGATCATTCACAGATGTCACACGTAGTAAGCAATGATGTCAGAAGTGACATCTTGCTTACTACTCTGCATGTGATCACTGATTGGCCAATCAGTGATCACATGATCGGGACCTCATACAGCGGTCCCGTCCGACGATCGGTGTTCCACTGTGTCTGGAGGACACAGCAGGTACCGGATCGCGGTGCTGCACGCTCCCAGGGAGCGCACACAAGCAGGGTGCGGGGAGGCTGTTTATAAATGGCCCCCGACCCTGCACTGCCACCGTCCGGCTGTTTATATAACAACAGCCGGACAGGAGGTGGTTAATGAGCTGCAAAGCAGCAAATAGAACTTAACAAAAATGTCATTTTTGACATTTCAATAAAGTTTGCACAAAAGAAAAATGCAAGAAACAGTGTGACACGTCTGGAAAAGCACATCAGCAGCCATGTGTTCAGTGTGGCTGCTGGTGTGAATGAGCCCCCTTATTAAAAACTACGCACCAATTCATTTGTCAAATGGCTGAGTTGCTGGCCTGTCAGCCCAGACTTAAGCACTAGAACAGAAAATCCTTTCCAGGAGGTAAATTTAAACAAAATGCCGACCAATTTCTAAAACTTCTAGCTACCTGGCTGTTGTAGACAGATAAAGATTCCTAATGTTTGCCGACATTTCTGATCTGCACATTTGTTCCAGGTCAATGGTCAAAGTAATGGAGTGAAGGGTTCAGCACAACAACCTGGTAACCATCATTTTCAGAAGGTGATCATAAATATCTGCCTCCATATTCCATTAAACACAGGGTTACTTGAAGAGCTGTCAGCTATTCAAGTTAAGGTGTATCCCGGTTTAGTCCATTATTTGTTTTTAGTGGTCCCAGACATGGGGTTCCACTTCATTTTGGGTCTCTAACGAGGAAAAGTGCGCAAACGGGGAACTATGGATCTTTCTGGATGTTCTTAAGCTTTTGGTTATAGTGGAGTACATGTTTTATGTGGTTTTTCTGATAATGTGCTTGTTCTGTTAGACAGCTACTGTGTCCTGCGATACACCTGGTATTTTGGTATATGCCCTGTTTTTACGCAACTTCTTTAAATAAAGAGATAAGTTAAGGTGTATAGGTAAGACTCCTATATATTTGGGAACCTGTCATTTTCTAGGCTACAACTATACTGTAAAAACTCTGAAAAAAAGATGAACACACAAAAGGAAGAAGCATTACAGAAAACACATATGCTGAAACATGTTAGGAGATGTGGCTTACACTGTGCAGTCTGATGGAAAAAAAACAAACAAATTTTAGACAATTTGCCAGCAAGCAACAAAACCCTCAATGTCTAGACAACTTTTCTGCAAACTCAAAGATGGGGCAATATTCCCTAGTCTAGCCAAGGTGACCATTTTGTATTGTCACAAAAAGTTTGGCCCCAGTTCCTCTGTCTGATAAAGTCAATGCAAATAAACATTGCCAAGCCAAAAATGAAAGCCAATCCACTGGACAAGTGATAAACAAGGAACTGCTAATTAAAGACTTCTCAATTATTCACCACATGCAACCACAACAGTAAAGAACTGCTATTAAAAATGTCATCCAGAAATGCTTAGTGTGCCTAACCAGTACCCTAAAAAAAAAAAAAAAAAAAAAAAAAAAAAAAAAAAAAAAAAAAAAAAAAAAAAATTTACACATTTGTCTCAAAGTTCTTCCTGGAAAAGCACTTCCCTGTATGTGAGGATGCATGTGCCTATAGCCTCAAATCTGTATATCTGCAGTGTGAAATCTAAGACACTACTGCCTCTGACTGAGATAGAGATACACTTCTCTCCAAGCTCAATGTACATCAGTGTCTGATCTCACCATCCGTCATATTTTAGTGGATGGTGGACTCCAAGACAAAAGACCCAGAACGACCCCACTATTCAAAAGAAAATGTATAAAAGCCAGGCTGGATTGTGCCAAAATGCTTACCAACAAGCCACAATACTTCTAGAAAAATGTATTAAGACAAAGCTGGAGCTTTTTGGCAAGTAACATCAGCTCTGTGTTCACAGATGAAAAATAGAGCTTTGAAAGAAAAGAACACTGTACCTACTGTAACAGGAAAGGTCCCTTGTCCGGCAGGGGTGCGCCTTTCAGAGAAGGCACTCTCTCAATGAATGCAAAGCATTCTCTGATTGGATGGGGCAGAGAGCGGAACATAACTGCCCCACCCTGTCCAATTATAGAACAATGTGCATTAATTGATAAAATGCAATGCTGAGTAGCCAACCTTGTGTTCACAATGCATCAAGACAGTCGCTCGTTATGGGACCCAGAAACTAGTGTAGATCATGGTGGTAGTGGTGTCTACTTCAGTGATTTCCAGCTTCTAGAGGGATCCCACAGGTATAGTATATGCACAGTTTCATTGCTCCATGTTGGCCTAATATACCGATGTAAAAAAAAAAAAAAAAAAAAATTCCATACCTGGAATTCTTATTTAAAAAGTGACAGTCTGCAAATCAAATATGATCGGAGTTCAACATCCCACACTAGTGCTGAAGGGTGCTTTAAAGGCTTCAGTAAAAGTATCAAAGCTTGCCAAAAATGTTGCAAATTTAGAAAAGCTTGCTGCACACACTGCTCTAAACTGAAGATACATTTAGAGATCCAATTCTGTGATGTTGTGATGGAATTGTGCAAATAGACTGCCTTCACCACTATTGACACCTTTCAACCATGTCTGCAGAACTATACTGAAAATAAAGATTTGATCGGTTGAAAAATTCCAATTGCTTTGGCCAAGGATCAACTCATTTGAACAACCTAAATAATCAATGCTGATTCTTCCAGTGACAGTTTCAGCACCCAGTGAATGTTATCAAAAGTCAAAATAATTGAAGACGGACACATATCCTTTGGTGTTGCATTAAACAATAGTTTGATATTTAATAGATTCAATTATTAGATCAATTGCTAGATTGGATGAAAAATCAATAAGATCTAGGGAAAGCATATGCTTTTAGGTGGCATTGCATTATTCAGAATTTTTAGCTAACAAGTCATTTAATATATCATTCACATCAACATACCAGACAAATAAGATACAACACAAAAGCCACACTACTGTATTAGAAAATACCTTCAAGTAAGAAAAAACACCAAAAGATTTGGAGACTGGACTCACCTGAATCTCAAACCCAAAAGTTTCAGATTCTTCCTTCTCCAAAGTAACTATTTTTCTGCAAAGAGAAGGAAAAAAAATTTATTGTTCCCATTTTTGTATAGTGTTTTTTCCCCCTACATCTTCACTGCAGTTTGCCAGTAGACAAGACAAAGCATATGGACTGTGAATTGCACAATACAGACCATTGTTCTGTATAACAAGGCTTCGGGCCTCTCATTATCAAAGCCAAACACCCACCATGCCTCAATAGGCCTTTATATGGGGTCTCTTAAAGTCCAGTTTTGCACATATGTTGCCAATTAGATGCCATCATTAATGGTACGGTTTTTACACTTTGTCATTAGCAAACATACTGAGGCATTACGAAAACAAAAACAAAAACAAAAAAAAAAAAGAAAAGAATCTAACAAACATAAGTAATTTGCAGGCACCGTACTGCTACTGGGGAATGTTAAACTGCTTAAAAATAAAATTAGATAATTGAATGTAGTTCAACAAGAGCTCTGACTTCAATAAACTTGATCTACAGGCAAAACGTTATTGGTTTAGAATAGAGTGGTAAGGATTTAGGGCTTGCTCACAACAGCCTTTACATTGCAACGCAGTGGTGGGGCCGAAATCAGTGCAGTGATGATGTGCTGAGCTCGGCACATCGCACATTTTTATTTATTTATTTATTTTTTTTTTTAAACAAACGAATATTGAGATGCAACACAGACATCTCATAACATTAATTTGTCAGCCAGGTAGTGCTAGGTAGAGAATTGCCTCACACTGCGCTGCTCTGAAAAAAGTACTGCGTGCAGTAGTCTTTCATTGCACTGCGCCCCGCACATCACCGCAATGCAGTGGTGTAAACCAGGCACATAGCAAACCATGCAATTTGCCTTGTCTATGCGGAGGGACTGCGCTGGAAAAGCCGCCCAATGTAATCACACCACATGTGGTGTGAGCATATAGAACCAGTTAGATTATTGCTGTCTGTCCCAGCTACGTAAATCCACTTTTTCTGTTTATCCTCATGACCACTGTAATTGGGACAGAGTTACAGGGAAAGTACATATTTTAGCACTGCTATCGGAACAGGAATAGAGGAGAAACCCCTCAATGGGGACACTTTCTGGAGACAACGGTCTTAGGCCAGTTACATATGGAACACATTCTGGCCAGTTCCTAATGAACCACCCAAAATCTGAGCGGTAAGTGACTGACAGCATGCTTTCGCCTGACATTCTTTGATCTGAAGAACAATGTACCTAGGTGTTGGCCGAACAGCGACTGCATCAAATCCCAAATGCAACCACTATTTGATTATTCTGACAGCCTCAAGTGCAGGAGAGATCTGCCATTTAGAATAGATGGGGGGGGGGGGGGGGGGGGAATTGATTTCTCTCGTTCAGCTCATGTGTATGGCCAAGCTTTACAGGGGACTGACCTCATTTTAAAGATATAACCTCACTTTCGGTTGTGTCCACAGGAACAGAAGGTAAAGGGAAAATTCTTCATTGTAACAGATAGCAAAAAAATCTACCAGGGGTTTTAATGACTTTGTATTCCATCCAAAAGTAAGAAAATTAATATATTTGGCTTTTTGCAAATTTATAGATTTAAATACAAAAGATGGTCATAGATGATGCAATTTTCTTTACTGCACACATGGGTCACAGTCAGTGTTGATTGGGGAATCTCTCTTGCTGAGCTATTGTGTTCTCCCACTAGGAGAACAGTGATTTTTGCTAGTGGCAATGGTTGCATGATAATTCAGACAGGTTGGTTGTACCCAAGTTGCACAGCAATCGATTTGGGTACAACCAGCTCACCCACAAATGGTTGGAAAAAAAAAAAAAAAAAAAAAAAAAAAAAAAAAAAAAAAGAAAGATTCGAACCATCTATGGTCTGCTTATGAGAAGCATTGACGGTGCTTTACTTTGATATAGATGGCAGCATCTATGGTTTAAAGGGACACAGACTTTGTCCAGTGAATTAAAGGACCAGCAAACACTACCTACTTATACAAAGAGCAAATAAATTTTATATATATATATATATATATATATTAATATATATTAATGTAGAGTCTATTGTTTCTATCAGACAGGCCTTATCTTTAAGATAAGAGGATCACAGCAGGAAACTGAGCACTGAGCATCCTTACATGAGCGCTAATATGGCCATCCTTCCTGTACAGCCAAATACAAACTCTACATAAAACAGCTAAAACATTAACATGCCATAAGATTTGCATGCACCCGGTATATTTGTTAAGTGGGGGAAAAAAAAAAAAAAAAAAAAACAAACACACACTAAAAGAACTGAGGATCCTCTTTAGGAAACCATAGTACTTGTGTGCCTACTATTACTGTTGTACTTCTACTTGCACAAGTTTACTAAGCAAAGTCAGAGGTCAAATACCATATGCTTCATTTACATCATAATCAATACTGAGACAATAAGATGTTCCATACTGGCAAACGTATACATCAATGCAAGTAAATAATGGAAATTAGATCAATATCCAAGGTGATCCTAAAGTGCTTCCTTAGCACAAAACATGGTTTTAAAGGCCAATTTTTTTTTTTTTAAACTACAAGGGGGCGTTCAAGTCAAGCCGGGACTTAATGTTACAGGCATAATCAGGGATGCTAGCATGGTGGTACTACACTCACTAATAAGTGGCAAGTGTGTCCTATAACTGATAGGTGTCGCACATGTTGCAGGCCAGTCCAGAGACAGTTAATCAAGATAACAGACAACAGGGATCATGTGTGCATGGGACAGTGTGTGGTGATGAAGATTCTTGTGAATGAAGGTGTAAAAGTCACGGATATCTACAGAAGACATCAAGCACAGTATGGTGATGAGATTCTTGGCCACAGTAAGACATTTGATTGGTGTAAATGTTTCAAAGATGGCTGTATGTCCATCAGTGACTATCCCGGCCATGGCGGTTCCCAGCCCGCAGCAGTCATCCCTGTGAACATTTAACACATGGAACACCTGATCCCGAATAATGGCATAACCGGTCGTGAAATTGCACAAGAGACAAATCTCATGGGACCAGTGAACACAATGATGAAGTGAAGCAGGCTGTCCTAGGATGGTTCAGGAGTACTGACAAACCTCTCTATGCCTAAGCTTTCCAGGCATTAGTTAAACGCAGAGATAAATGTATAAATGTAGCAGGGGAGTATGTCAAAATAAATGCAGGTTCTACACCTTGAAATTAGTTCTTTAATTATATAAACGCAAAAGTCCAGGTTTGACTTGAATGCCCCTTGTATATACACCTATATAGAGACAAATGCAGGAAACAAAAGGAGCGCATGGAGCTAGGTGGAGGAGATAGCTTACCTGTAATGTTCAGATGTCTGGCTCACGTTCTTCCAGCCCATTGGAGAACCCTAAAAGAAAAAAAAAAAAAAAAAAAAAAAAAAAAACAACAGATTAAAACATGTCCACAAATTTACACAAAGGTGTGTGCGCAGCATAAACAGCAGTGGTCTAGCTAGTAAGGTCCTTCAATGACAAGATCTATCTAGCAGTATCCATCAGCAGTCCCTGCTTGGGTACTTATTTATGGACACAGAGGTTTTCCTAAGACCAATATAAGGATACTCAAGCTGGCTATACACTAGTAGAATTTTATTCCTTTTTTTTTTTTTTTTTTTTTTTTTTTTTTTTTTTAAAAAACATTGGTTTCATTTTCTAATTGTTAGTGGGCCAAATAGACATTCATTTCAACTTATGTGATGAGAAAATTCGAAGGAGCAGGATAAAAAAAAAAAAAAAAATGTTCCTAGAATGAACAAATTTCTAAACAGCTACATGCTATTCATTCAGGAAAGTCCATTCACGCCAAAAATAAACTTTAAAGTACTTTAGAACGACATTAGTCAAGCCATTGAACATTCTGAGAATTTCATATTAACATTTGTTCCAAAGTGTATGGCGAGCTTTAGAGTGACCACAAGGATCAGTGGGATTGTCCAGATCTTTCGGGCTTTAAAAAAGGATATAGCAAATCTGCAAAAAATTGCATTGCAAAAACAACTTATACTGTATGTATCAGCCATTATATTATATATCGGTGGGGTCCTGGTGGAACCTGAGTGGCCCTCAAGGCCTCTACAGACATTCTTTTGACTGGCGACTTGGATTCTCTCTCACACATCTTAATTTTTTTCCTGTCTCTACAGAAAGCTGTTGGGAGGCTACAGACATGCATTGCATTTACTGATTATATGCAGCCTTCTGGTGATGTCTAGGTCTGCACTTGAGGCCCCCTACATCAAGCTGTCCTCCTTTGTTCTGGGAGGAGTGTACACTGAAGTCATAGTGGTCACCAAACCAGCATAAGTAGTAGAAGCAATGTATACACTTCAGATATAAAAGGAAATCACAGTGCTGGAATAAACTAAACAATAAAGTGCTGTATAACCAAACAAGTCACTAGCATCCATTTCATACAGACAAGTGCCTCTTTGATGGTCAAATGACAGTTTACGCTACAACGGCAACAATTTCATCTCATGCATTATGGAGTCTAAACAGCAGAGCTATAGCAGCTGGGACAGGCTAAGAGAAGTCACTATATATTGCCTACGTGCCCCTTAATACTACATACAGTATGGAATTATTGGGGCTTTTTCAAACAAAGACATTAATTGAGTGCAACAAGCTACTCTGCACTAATCTTAAATGAGCTCCCAAGACAACAATAAGGAATTCAGAAGGTTAATCTGGGATTAGATACTTTAAATACATTATGTGTAAATGTCTCTGGACAAATTGTTAATGAGAGGACTAATTAACATCGACTTTCAAAAAAAGACTGGAGGTGGCCCTAGATATAGGACATAACCAAAGTTTTGGTTCAGGCAAGTCTCAGCATGAATATTTTATATAACAATCACCACAATTGCTTTTCTATGGAAATAAAGAGATGACCTGCATATTATAGGAATCTGTATCACAACACTAATTTCCTTTCCAAACATTAAAGACAAACTTCCTTCCCACTCAGGCTTTTAATATTTTACTTGCATCAGAACAATGACAAAGATATATCAGTCAGTTAGGATGGCAGTCTCATGTTTACTAATAAAGCTTTCAGCAACTGTCATTTCAGGAACCAATCAGAAATGCAGGAGGAGGATATATGTTCAATACATGACTGCAATATGAATAAATATACCAAACAAAATCTTTCAAAAGTCTAAAAATACTCCCAACGTTGTAGTACTTCAAGACAACACTACTTCCGGAGGGGCAATAAGAATGAACGGGAAAGTAAGGGCTCATTCACACTTGACTGTTTTTCCAACTCTTGCCAAACGCCCCTATAGCGTTTGACAAGCGTTGGTCCGGCGTTTGCGGAGCGTTTTTTAATGCTCCGCAAATGCTGCATGCGCGGTTTAGCAGTGGTTGCTAGGAGTTTGCAAAGCACCTATAATGAAGTTTAAATGGTGTTAACGCTCCGGAAATGCCCCACAACCGCACACGCCCCGGCATTTGCAGAGTGGCACCACAGACTTGGATAGGAGGCTTCAACTCCTCCTAACTCGACCAGAGGCGTCCGTTTTGCCACGATGCTAACGCTCCCGTGTGAACAGCACCATGTGCTGCAATGTGCAGAATTTTCACAGGCGTTTGGGAAGCGGTAAAAAACGCTTCCCAAATGCCTGTCTGCTGCTTGCAAACAAGGCTAGTGTGAACGTAGCCTTAGTTTTCTCCAACATGCTATGTAATCTGTCTTCATATTACTGTGATGCTTCAAGCACTTGTTTTTGAAAACCATGTGTACAAAGCCCTCATCATTGTTAACAGTAGATGGCTTTCTTGTCAATTTCAAAGTACATCCACTAAAGATGGCCAAGGTGATCATGGTACCAATGACATAATGACCATCCTGATTTCCAAGGCCACCCTAAAACCTGGAGTCTTCAGCTGAGCTGAAATCAAACAAGGCTGAGGCATATTCTGGGTAGAAAGGGCACATGTAACACTTCTAATATTCCAAGTATATTTAGCTTGTACGGTCAAATGTTCACATGACAAGCACAGACTATCTCTCTAGTGTCTATTCTTGCAAAAAGGAACTTAAAGGGGATATGATCAACAGGTTTAAAAACGTAAATGGTCCAAATAGTAAACTTGGTGTTGAGTTATTCACTTTCAGGTCATTACAGAGGACAAGGGAGCACTCTTTACGGGGGGTAATGCACATAATATAACTGGATACTGTAATAATATTTATAGGCAACATCAGTGGTAGTTGATCCAGGGAATATTAGATTGCCTACCGGGGGATCAGGAAGGAATTTTTTCCCCCTACTGGAAAATTTGGATTATACTTTATTGGGGTTTTTTGCCTTCCTCTGGATCAACTGTGGGTATAGGATTATGTATATGGGGGGTTTCAATATCTTTCTTGTTGATTGAACTAGATGGACTGTCTTTTTTCAACCTCACTATGTGACCGTGTACCCACTACATCCACTTTAAAAACCAGTAACTCTGGGTTCACACGTTTGCGGCCCATTATACAAGTAGCAGTAGGTCGTAAACAAAGCATCGAAAAATGTCCAGTCCATTAACACACAAGTGCTAAGAAGAAAGGAGATCTGTAAGTATAAAATTGCAGAAACAATGAACACATGAGCCATTCTTTCCAAACTCCTGTGCCAATTTTATAATGCATTACGCTGACGTATTCATTACACGTAAAAGACCAAAACATTTGCATGCAACATGTAAATGACATTCAGCGTGCACTGGATTCTTCCTCATATGCCACATTTACCCATAGTTAAACACTTGCCCTTCTCACAGACCTATGAGGGAAGGCCTTTATTTTCCCAGTCTACCCTCATAAAAGTCTCTTTCACACTGCCCAGCATATATTTTTAATAACTCTCAATTCATTTCCAGAGACAATTTCTTCCATTGTTTGATTTGAGGTTCACAGCTCATAACAAGTGTCAGATGCAGTAGGCAAAGAGTCTGTTCCAAGTGCATTTATAATATGTGAATAGGAACTTCAAACTTTAAAGTAGGCGTGGGGGGGGGGGGGGGGGGGCAACGTGAGAGTATCGCTGGAATAAACTTCACACAGCCAGGAATGTGAATTATGCATTGACGCTCTAAGTCAACTTAACATTTGTAGCAAAAGAACAATTGTTTAAAAAATTTGAAGAATCAAGTTAATAAACAGATATGAACCAGATAAATCATCAAGTTAAGTGAGTCACAGCGCTTAACATGCCGAAGTACAATCCTGAATATATAGATGTACTACTTATGTGGAAAAATGATGGTTTGCACTTAAGCCTTTTAATTTTCCTTTAATAAAATGCTTTTGGAAAGTCCCATTGTATTGTTTGTGTTGTTAATGAAAGTACTGGGAAGTGTTTAGTCTTCCCAGAATATGGGAAGTGTAGACAGCTATTTGATGTCCTGCTAGCACAGCTTAACAAATGGTGATCATGTACACACTGCCACAGACACAAGACATCCATCGTCTGACAGCTTCAATTTGGCTGCCTACCAACCACCACCTTTTATACTCCAACCCCAAACATTTTGTATAAGAAGTATGTAATTGTTAGAACCGCTGTCTGGGACAATTTTCCCTACACTTTATATTGAGTCAGAAATGGAGTGACTCTCCAGTGGGTACAGGCTACAACATAATACTTTATTCAATAATTCTCTGCCATCCTTCCCAAGGAACTGCTCCCCTTACCTCTTGTCCTAGGAAATAAAAAACATGGCAGATTACAGCTAGGGTCACACTCATCAATTCTCTGAAAAACAAATTTGCAGGTTTTTTTTGCCAGCGACAATTTTCAATGGGACTAATGCACCACAAATGTACGCCAAGTGCTGGCTAGCAGTTGCAGCCCCAGAAACTTGAGTGGATGAGTTTGACAAATGATGCCCACCTGTCAACTGGACATGCTGCAGTAAATCTGTAGTGACTGCACCATGTAAACAGTCTCCTCCAGCTGTATGGTAGGAGTTAGGTGAGCAGTCAATGGGAGGAGAAAATGTGGCTCACCTGCCTGTGTGGGCCACCCCCTGGCCACTCGTAATAAAAAGGCATTAACACTTTACCAAATTTTTGCCTGCAATCTAGATGTAATGAGGTTCTTTTGTTGATCAATAAACAGGTTGCAACCATCTACAACCAGATTCCAATTTAAGTGGACAAATTATTGTAACATGGCAATCATGGACCAAACAAGTCTGGGCATCAGCAAACAAATGCAAACCCTGAAAAAAGTTAGACATTAGGTATGATAGCTATATGGTTCCAGAAAGTGGCCCAGCATTGACTTCACTGTCTGCAAACTACTTATAATTACATTGTCTACTGATGGGGCCTAATAACACATTTATGACTACAGTAACACAATGCAGTAGAAAACTCCAATATTAATTACAAACACTCTAATATCCATAGGCATAGACACCTTTTCCTAACTTTCCCATTTTTGATTTAGAGACACAAATGGAAAGCTAGAACAACTTACTGATATTCACGTCTTCCGAAAATTTGTGTATACCTATAGTATATTGCAGAAGCAGAATATTGCATATATAGTTGCTTGTCACCATAAATCCAAATTGTTTATACTACTCCACATCAATTGAGACATGGATGAGCCCTGCTATTTACTTTTGGTATAGAAATAGATAAAGTTCTAAAGATGCAAGCAAAAAACAAAAAAAAAAAAAACAAAAACAACAACCCCAAAAACATACCAAGGACTCCCAGAACAACCATATTACACAGAAAGGGAATATTAAAGGGACACTAAAAAAATGACATGGTCATCTGTGCTCAAACATATAAACAACCCTCCAGGGTATCTTGACTTTGCTTTTTGCAGGTGCTTGTTACTCAACAGATACTGGAAAACCAGTTCAGCTCTTTAAAACCAGTCAGACTCGTGTCCATAGGAGCAGTGAAAAATAAAGATACTTAGGAGGGAGGACAAAGTCTGATTACATACAGTAGCTTCATTCAGACATAACTGTCAAACTTCTAGGCAACCTGTCAAAACGCAATAACAATACTCCAATGGGCAATGCCTTCCTTACAATTCCGATTTATTTCAAAGTACATAAAAGTCCTAAAACTGTAAAACAATACAGTTCTACATTGAATATGTTTATGTGCTTTACAGATCTCTTGGAACATGTCCCAGCTTCTGTTTATTCACATCAAAAGCTCAATCTTCTTATTGTCCCCAACTTCATGAACCATCTGCTTCCAAAAGGATAGAGGCTAATGCAGCTTAAACAAAGCAATAATTAAATTATGGCAATTTAAAGAGACAGGGTGTGACCACCATGCCATTTCTTGTTTAACAGCAAAGAAAAACAAATCTATTATTAAAAAGGATCATGAAAAAGTGAGAGGCAGCAGTCTGTGAGCAAAGTGCCACCAGCAAAAACAACTAGATTAAGACAAATAGGATAAAGAAAAAATGCAAATAGAAGGGGACAAAGCAGCCGACAAATCATTTACTGATTACCAGTGTAGCTTGCCAGACAGAAAATGGGTTAAGGTTAAGTGGTGCCAAACCTGTTCAAAGATTACTAGTGTCACAGCATATGCCATTCAATTAGAATGTTTAATTAAACAAAAGTGACCTTTGTCACCATGATGAGGCTTTAGAAGTCTAACTTACACACATTTTATACCATAATCTTGTTAATTATGACACAAAATGTATAATGGGCACATATGGTTAATCAGGGCTGCCAAACACAGTAGCAGAAATAAATAAAGCTGGCCATACACAAAGAAATCTATCAATTCCCCCATACAGGCTAAAAAGCATAGATGAGCAAATCTCCCCTGTCAGCTATTGTATTTTGACAGCCAGAATATGCAGCTGTCAGAGCACCTGAACAGTGATGGTATCTTACTCAACTGACAATTTTCAGATCAAAAGAGGTTGGGTGGGAGGTTCACCAACAGGACCACTCACAGCATCAATTTTGATCAGTTCAACAAGAACAGGCTGGAATTTGCTCTATGTATGTCCAGCTTAACAGTCACAAAATCAGCAGCTAATCTCTGTCTGTTAAAGGTACCTGCAGATTTTATATTGTGTTTGGCCACCAATCATTCCAAAAATTGATCTTTGCAGAAAAAGGCAATACAAACTTCCACTGTGTGGAGCAGCAAGGTGGCTTAGTGGTTAGCCCTTGCAACACTAAGGTCCTTGGTTCAAATCCCAGCCATACTATTTGCATGGAGTAGGTATGTTCTCTCTGAGCTTGCAAGGGTTTCCTCTGGGCACTCATTTTCCTCTAACACGCCAAAAGAAATGCAGGTAGGTTGATTGGCTCGAGTCGAAATTGCCCAAGACAGACTGTGCATGTATATACACATATAGGAAAGAGGACCCTTCAATTGTAAGCCAAACACCTTGAAGGCAGGGACTGATGTGAATAATGCACTGTGTGAATTAACGGTGCTAAATAAATGCCTGTAGTAAATAAAAGATTACATGAACTTTAATCTATAGATCTACTTTGAGGGGGAAAAAAACAAACAAAAATAAGGAATGGTGCAGATCCTTGTCATCTCAGGGAATACTCAACTGTGACCCCTCCCAGCCAATCAACGCTCTGAACAGGCTTGCTTTGAAACACAACTGAACAAAAAATATACAGTTTAATGTACATTCCCTTCATAATACACGCTCTATGAATCAACAGCCTTGTGACGGAAGAGGTCTAAAACCTGATTGCAGGGACACATTGGTCCATCCATTTACCAAAATAGAGTTACATTTCTTGGCTCTCAAGTTTTGGGCACTTCTTGCCAGGCTGCTTAGCCTCGTAGATGGACAACTCTCAGAAAACAAATACATATACGTAATGTATACTGAAGCAACTGAAGCGAGTAACTAGCATTTCAACACAATACCCAGAAACAGGAACACTATGAACACACAAGCCACACAAATGTAAGAAGGAGTCGTCACATTCTTCAGAAATGTGACGAGAAAGCTCTCCTGGCCTGAATACTGCTATGCAGTCACTTACAGGAGGCCAACTATCTAGCACGGACTGCCATGCTGATCAAATTGAACAAGAAAGCCCCAAATGGTTAGAACCAATTTACAGATACACTATATTGCCAAAAGTATTGGGACACCCCTCCAAATCACTGGATTCAGGTGCTCCAATCACCTCAATGGCAACAGGTGTATAAAATCAAGCATCTAGGTAAACCGATTGCTTCTACAAACATTTGTGAAAGAATGGGTCGCTCTCAGGAGCTCAGTGAATTCAAGCGTGGTACGGTGATAGGTTGCCACCTGTGCAATAAGTCCATCCATGAAATTTCCTTGCTACTAAATATTCCACGGTCAACTGTTAGTGGTATTATAACAAAGTGGAAGCAACTGGGAACAACAGCTACTTAGCTGCGAAGTGGTAGGCCACATAAAATGACAGAGCGGGGTCAGCGCATGCTCAAGTGCACAGTGCATAGAAGTCACTGACTGTCTGCAGAGTCAATAGCTAAAAATCTCCAAACTTCATGTGGCCTTGAGATTAGCACAACAGTGTGTAGAGAGCTTCATGGAATGGGTTTCCATGGCCGAGCAGCTGCATCCAAGCCTTACATCACCAAGTGCGATGCAAAGCGTCAGATGCAGTGGTGTAAAGCACATCACAACTGGACTCTAGAGCAGTGGAGACATGTTCTCTGGAGTGACAAAGCACGCTTCTCGGTCTGGCAATCCAATGGACGTGTCTGGCTTTGGCGGTTACCAGGAGAACAGTACTTGCTTGATTGCATTTTGCCAAGCATAAAGTTTGGTAGAGGTAGGATTATTGTGTGCGATTTTTCAGGGGTTGGTTCCAGTGAAGGGAACTCTTAAGGTGTCAGCATACCAAGACATTTTGGACAATTTCATGCTACCAACTTTGTGGGAACAGTTTGGAGATGGCCCCTTCCTGTTCCAACATGACTGCGCTCCAGTGCACAAAGCAAGGTCCATAAAGACATGGATGAGCGTTTGGAGTGGAGGAACTTGACTGGCCTGCGCACAGTCCTGACCTTAACCCAATAGAACACCTTTGGGATGAATTCGAGTGGAGACTGCGAGCCAGGCCTTCTTGTCCGACATCGGTACCTGACCGCACAAATGCGCTTCTGGAAGATTGGTCAAACATTCCCATAGACAACACTCCTAAACCTTGTGGACAGTCTTCCCAGAAGAATTGGAGCTCTTATAGCTGCAAAGGGTAGGCCAACTCAGTATTGAACCCTACGGACTAAGACTGGGATGCCATTAAAGTTTGTGTGCGTGTAAAGGAAGGCATCCTAATACTTTTGGCAATATAGTGCATGTGCTGAGTCAGTGAAATTATGAAACCTGCAAGACAGCCAAACAACCTGCATTTTCAGAAAGAAGTGCTAACCATAGCAACTCCCATTACTTTTTTTTTTTTACTTGTACTATAGCTGAATTAACTTTAATATGCTACTATGACTTCAAAAGACCTAGTGGCAAATGTTCTGTATAACAAGTCACAAAATTGCTCAGCCAAAGATGCCAGCAATCAGGCTGCTGGTGAAAGGTTGGCTCTCAGGGGACACACAATGTGCACTGAACAATTAATAAGTCACCAGTGTGTGCACTTGTTATTTACATAGGCAAAGTAGCTCAGGGATCCTAGTGAAAAGGATACTAGAAGATAAATAAGCCATGTATAGGTTCAACATTAGGAAACAGGTTTGTGAACATAATTTTCACATGGTAATCTCTGGGATTCAGAGATACTAGCCATCTGTATGGGCAGTTTAACACTTGACTCCCGTTTGCAGTGAAGCTCCCCCTGCACTGCAAGGTAAAATGCAAATTTTTGACTAGGTGACCAGGATGAATCGCTTACCAAATTCCTTGCTCCTGTATGCTGAAAGTCCAGCCACCATAGCATCTTCGCTAAGTGCTGGTTTACACTGGAATGCCTTTCTGCATTTCCCACACTGCATTCCAAACACACTGGATGTGTGAACTGCTGAGGGTGTCAATAAATTGCCAACACCCCAAATGCAGATGGAAAATGCAGTGCACTGGTCTCGACCAGGTTGCACAGCACAGAACACCATGTGATCTGGTTGCAGTGTATTTTTTTAATGTAGTGCATGCACTACTTTTAGTGCAATTCAGTGTGTTTTCAGCTCATTCAAATGAATAAGCTGAGTATTATTATACAGGATTTATATAGCACCAATAGTTTGCTCAGCTCTTTACAATATAAAGAGACAATACAGCAACAATACAATTCAATACAAGAGGGATAGGAGGTCCCTGCTCCTTGGAGCTTACAATCTAGGAGAATCTCATCACACTGAATCATACATTGCACAGTACCAGAGTGCACTCCTGTACGATTCCTGGTGTGAAATGGCACTAAAGCTGGCCATACACTGATTGAAATTTGGCTAGGTTAGCAGGTACCAGACAGATTTCAATCAGCGTGTGGCTGTCCCAGCTCGAGATACGTCAATCGTTTGATCGACTTTTGTCAAAGGGACATAATGGGAAAATATTCCAACATCAGTAGCTTCAGTCAATCACCCGCTGTTGCTGCTCAGTGTATTCTGACAGTAGAGGTGCTGCTGTCAGAATGCAATGTCCAGGTGGGGATTCCTCCAGCCACCTCATTGGTGTGGATGGAGGAATCTGCTAAGACAGGAAAAAGAAAAAAAAAAAACTAAAAAAAAAAAAAAAAAAAAAAAAAGTGTATGGCCAGCTTAAGGCACCCTGGTAGTCACAGGCACTGACATAAAGTACAATGCGGGACCGAAAGCCCTGTATTGTTTTTGAGGACACCAGGGGACTGTCCACAACCTGGCATATCAAGAAGAGTTGGGTATTGGCTGCTGGGGGAGTGAGGGATAAGGCAAGTAAAAGCCCTTGTTTCGGCTACCTAAGGCATAGATGAAAATGTAAGCCTTACAATGCAGGGAGAGCCCCATTGCAAGGGAAGTCCCCCCCCAAAGTTTAGCTTTAGGCAGCTCAGGCTACAAAATCAACAGAACTATGTTCTACTAAGGTAATATATATATATATATATTCAATTACTACAGTTAGAAAAAGGACTCATTCTGTTCATATTTCTTTACCAATTCAATTTATTTGGATTCAAGATAACATGGGTTTATACATAGGAGTGTATGCTACAATAATCAGAATTCATATGTGATGGAAGACATTTTCTAAACTATCAGCTGCAAAACATAAAATGTAGCCAAACTAGCTTGCAGAAAGGTTTGGGGTCTCCGTCAATTTAAATCTTGCCTGCGGGCCAGAGAAAATTGTGTGAGGACCCCATGCAGCCCAAAAAAACAGTGGCTTGACAAGCTTGATTTACAGGGAGAAAATAACTTGTCTATTAGAAGTGACATGCCCTTTAACTTGACAGCTGGGGAAGATATTCTCCTTTGCTCATAACCTGAGCTTCCTCATAAAAATAATAAAAAAAAAAAGCGAAAGTCAAGAATGCCGTTCCTTCTACTAGGAACTTTACATAGATCTGCACATGTGAGTAAGCTTTAACAGTGACCTATATTTTGGCTGGCTCTCCCATATTACAGCATGGCTGCACAGATGGATCAAAAAAAAAAAAAAAAAAAAAAGAGGCCTATGTGAGTTACATGACCGAATGGCTGGCTCTCACCTACTTTCGGGACACCATTGTTTCTGGTTATACTGCAGGACTTGTGGCCGTGTCATCAAGTCCATGCCAGCAATTTACACCCAAGTGAGATTAAAGAAAACAAAGTAGCCAGCTGTAATTTGTGGGGCCATTACTTTTATGGCATTAAAATAACAGAATTGGCTCCTTAAGGGCTGCATTGTAAAACGTAGGTCAGTCTATTGTAGTGTGTAGGACACCATGAGATTGGTCCATTACAGACCATGAATAAATAGGAACATCGCTCTAGATAGATATATATCAATCCCCACTTACTCTTTGTACTTCATTCTATAAGAATCACAAATGCAATAATCTCTGAAAAGATTTAACTTGTGCAAAATTCATAGAAAGAAAACTGACAGATGCTTCTCTACGTAGATGTGCTCTTTTGGCACTCATTTGTGCATGCAAATTAGTAAATAATTAGGTCCTTGTTTGATAATAAAATCAGCCTAAAGCTTGCTTTACTCAACTCGATTTTCTAGTTTCCATGTCAAGTAAATAGCCAAACGTTTGCATAACTGACAACTTATCTCTGAGCCAAATGTAGGATCCAGCTTAAAGCAATTATATTTCTCTGAATTAGATTTAGTGTTTGTATTTTAGGAAAGTACAACACAGCACTTAACAGAATTCCAGGTGGAATCCTCAGCATCCTTGGAGGGAAGCCCAATACACAATGTACAATTACCCCCATACATTGTATCCTTTATATCCTGCTGTGAATACTTGGCCGTCATGTAGGGTTGAGTTCAGCCATGAACCCACCTAAGTCTACTAGGACTGGGCCAATCATTTGAGGTGTTGGCATTTACCAGGCCACAACCCAACATACACTAAAGGAAGTGTATACATGTAGCTTTTGGGGCAGGAAATGCCTAAGCCACTTATGACTGGTGCAGTACAGCGACAGCTTCCTAGTGGGCTGGCTCAGGTGGATTTGGACTAGCTCAGGCCTCCTCCTATGGCTGCCCACAATATGCAATCTAATGCTTTGCTTGAACTGCACTAGGACTATTGAAGTCAAATTTGCACCATGATTCAAGACAGGAACTCCTCTAATTCGCTTTATTTTGGCCTGTTAAATATACTAAAACACATTGTTTATATCTTTTCAATAAATGGGAAAATGAGATCTATTCATCCTGGCAGAAATCAGATTTAGTGAATAAAGCTCCTGCGCTATACAGTTGTCAGTTACATTGTAATCAGCTGTCTAAGCTGACTATAAAAACACTTCAACCCCAAAGTAATGGGAGAGGCAGTTCTGTAGTCCTGTCATAGTATGACAACACTACTCTTACAAAGTTACAGAAACATATGTGCTTTGCCATCCTAGGATAGGAAGTCTGCTACCCGGAGGAAGCCCACACAGGCACAGGGAGAAACATGCAAACTCCAGGCAGGAGGTGCCGTGGCTGGGATTTGAACCAACTACCCTAGTACTGCCAGGCGGAAGTGCTAACCATTTAGCCACTGTGCTGCCCCAATATTTGCCTGAAAAGTCATTTTGACATAGCTGGCATGTTTTTACTTGCTTTGGCTTCATATTTTGATTATATTTGTTCATATACAGACTTATGCAGGCCATAGACGGGTCGTTTATCGGGCCGAATTTTCATCCGCACGAAAAATTGGCTGATATTCACGATGTTAGTGGGGCCAGCCCATCAGCCGTTTTTCGCGGATCTGCTCATTTATTTATCGATCATGCTGGAAAAGCTACGAAAAAATTTTTTCGTGGACATTGGTGGCAGCATCGGCACCGACCGATTTTTCGTTTATCGGCTGACAATTCGGCCGATGAACGGCCCGTCTATGGCCTGCATAACTGCTCCCTCCAGCAAGATTAGTTTTTAAACAACCACCATACTTTTATCTAGACAGGTTAATATTGGGAAGGTTTACATTAAAGTGTTTCTGTCATGATGGAAGTATGGTGGCTGTAATTACAAGCTGAAAATACTAGATGCCTGGCTGAGTCTGACTTCAGTGACAGCCCTGGAAGAAGCATGCTGTAAATGAGTGTCAGCAAAGTGTCAGAAGTACTTCCATCTATACTTGTTCTGGATCAGTGTCTTACACCACAATGAAGACAAAGCACCAGAATTGACAGCCAGGAAACTAGCATTCTCAAAGCAGAGTTCAGTAATGACAGGCTCTATTGATCTCCTATGACAGAGTCCTTTTAAGATCACGTCTACAGTTTAAGCTGGTTATTTCCCAATACTTAGACTGGTTACACATCAGTTAGATTTTTCTAAGATTTAATCTATGAGAACAGCAAATCGTACTACTACCTTTGGGGCCACATTCACAACTATTCATTGTAATGTGTATTATGTATATGTTTTGGAGGAGGTGTGCCCATTCATTTCCAATGGGCTCTCAATGCATATCCTGCATCACAAAATGCACATTGCTATAGGTAGAGTAACATCCCTCAGCTGCAATGGAAAAAAAGGGTTGCAGGTCCTCTGTTGCAAGGATGCCCACTGAGGTTTCATCCAAAAATACATGTGCAGTACAATGTGTTGGTATGTGACAATGTCTACTGGAAGACACATTGTAATGCACAGGTATAAAATGTACCTCCTATGCCTAGCTGCTAGAATATACAGTGCATTTATCAAGATGGGACACAAGACCACATCCAAACTAAACCAACCTAACTGGTGTGCTGCCATACTAGATCATGCCTATAAATCGAGTTTTCACCCTAACCAATCACAGTGAATGGAGGGGACATAAAGCACAGACATTAAAGCTGAAGTTTAATCTGCTTATATTTTGCTTTTCCTGATAACTAGTGGTGCACTGAAATGAAAATTCCGGTTCTGAAACTGAAAATTCAGCATGCACTTGGCCGAAAACCAAAACAGGCCGTTTTCAAAACATTTTTAAAATTTAATATGGCTGGCATTTTTGCCCTGATGTCTACGACACGCAACTTTGCCCTGACGTCCACGAGATGCCAACGTTGCCCTGAAGTCATTGTGCATTGAAGTCCAAGGAATGCAGCATGCCATTATCAGCACCATTTTTTTTTTCTATCGGCAAAATGCCAATAACCCTATTTTTGCCCAATTATTGTCAGTGGCCGATACACTGGTGCATCCTAACAACCCAATAAGCACGCAAGTGACATTTGTAAATAAGCCTATTTTCATTATATACCTTATTTTAGGCTAAGAAATGTCAGCACTGGGTCTCTATGTTGCTCTATACAATGCAGGCAGATGGTTTGTGCCTTAAAATTATTTTTTTTTAACTCTTCCATTTCCAGATGATGTCCAGAGCCTTTTTTTCATCATGAAAAATGCATGCAAAGTGTTTTTCCTGGTACTCAAATGGACCTGGCACACCATATATTTGAGGTTTTGCATGAAAAAAAAAAAATATGTTAAACACTGCTGCAATTATTTCTGCACAGAAATGAGCTGGAACACATTCAAATACCACAAAAAAAAACAACTAATCTCAACAAATACTGCTCTCTGCTTCTGCTCTCTCTCTCTCTCTCAAAATGTCTGAAATAGTTAATTTTTTTACTGTTTTTCAGTGCTTTCTTGGCATTTTGGAAGGTCTCCTGAGGGTATCTTAAAAAAACACTTCTAAACACAAGCGTACATAAACGTGGTATGCAAACTCAGCTAAACAGACGTTTTTTAATATACGTTTTTCCAGTAGTCCGTTTCCATCATTCAGAAGTGTCTTGTGTACATGGGGCCTTAGATGAGGTTGGAGGTTCTCCAGTCAGGAAATAGTTTGGCTATCAGTCTTGTTGCAGCTTCTAGCGCTTTGAGAAGCTCACAGTGTGCAGTGAAATCAGAAAAGCCATTTCAGTACAGGAGAGGACCCTGTACAACTGAGCAAGACTGACGGTAACCTTGAGTTTAGCAGCAAGGATGCCACTGAAGTATCTATTATAGCAATGCAATAAAACTTCCCATTTGTTACAATGTAATCTACAAACACCAGGAGCATATAGCTGAATGTCCCTTTGCTGGAGCAGTGCTGTAGAAGTAGATGACAGCTCCACCAAGCTGTCATCTGTCAAAGTGAGAAGAGAAAACTTGTAAAACAAGAAGTCCCACTAGATCACTACTATGGAAGGCATTTTACTTGTCACCAGGACCCAACTGACCTCAGATCAACAGTTGTGTTTACTACTTTACCAATCTACTTTTTGGAAAGATAAACTTCAAAAGGTGGGCATATATTGTTGAGGTGGTGTGTTTGATTGTACCAAATCTTACAGGCGAATCTACTATTTAGCATATACAGTGGTTGGACAAAACTATCAATCGAATTGTGTACAACCAGCATGTTTGGTTTTGCCCAAACGATTGGTGCCCTTGGCTATAACTGCCAACACTGATCATTGTACTCTGCCAGAGAGGAGCCAGCAGAATAGAGTAGAGCTCAGGGGGAAGGATTGTCCCATCCACAATGAATGTGTGGATGGGGGAATCAAGTCATTTATTGTTCAATCTGCTGGCTTAAAAAAAAAACAAAAAAAAACAAAACAATGCACGTATGGCCAGCCTTAAGCATTACGGTACCTGTGAAGTACAGCACTACAAGCACACCAAAAACTCAGAGCTTCATTAATATTTTTGGAGACTTTCACAGGCGCTGCCAAGAAAACATGGCAATGGATAGATGCCCACTAATTAAATCTGTGAATCACACGGCGGACTATTATTATGAAAGTGCGGTAATAGGTAATATCTCATTTAAATTTTGTGGTTAAACATCTGTAACTAGATACCAAAAAAATGACCAGACAGTTAAGGAACAACTCCAGCCACAGCGATATAGCTAAATGTCTAGCCAAAAAACTGTGTGATATGGGGTGTAAAATACAGCACCTACAATTACTTTACTATCCATCATCAGTTTACTGGATACTACTGGTAGCACCGAACTATGAGAGCTGCAGCTGTGATAGTGAAGTGATCCAGTGGTTTACCTGCCCCTAGCCTAGTACATTCATAGAATGTCTTCTGATCTGTTCATAGAATACAAGGCAATCTGTGAATGGTCAAGGAGAGATCATGTAATTTATCCACCCCCATACAATACAATGTTCAGGGGTGGTGCAATGTGTTGTTACAAGGCATTGTACGGTTTACTTTAACTTTTTTAAGTGTCACAAAATTAAAGCTGTGGTGTGTGGTGAGCTGCAATACATAAAATGCAGATGTGTTGCGTTTAATGCATGATGAATGGAGCACATACAGAACAATTGTTTTCTATGTTCTTTCATTTGGAGCCTGTGCAGATTTAAGAAGATCAATGCAGCTTGATGGACATTATGTGAGCAAGCCCTTGACATCATGGAGGCCTGGAGGTAACATTTGTACACATATAACTGCTATATAGTCAGAGCAAAACTAGATGTGGTAAGTGAGGTGCGCCTATTACAGGAATCTGAGCCTAAACTGTACGCTCCTAGACATATAACCCCAACCACTAACTTCTCACACTTGTATTAGAGAGCGCAGCTAACTTAGTGCGTGCAAATGGTGGTGTGATTTCTCACAACGCATTTTATTTTTTTACCTTCTGTATACTTGATCTGACATGACCTTACTACTGGAGATGCAAGATTTCAATGAGTGACACGCAAAATCCAGCTGTGTGAAGTGATCCAAGGTCGTACAGGTAGGGGGATCATTGAGGTCAGGTGATCATATCATAGATAGGAGTACTGTAATCCTGGGTAATATCAAATGATCATATCAGATATAGGAGATCAGTGATGTTGATTGATTATATCAGCCATAAGAAATCCGTGATAATATCATCAATAGAGGATCAATGCCCTCAGGTGATCATGTCATGCTTTAGGGGGATCCATGATCTCAGGTGATCATGTCATGCTTTTAGGGGGATCCATGATCTCAGGTGATCATGTCATACTGGGAGGGGGTTGGAATCTATGATCTCAGGTGATCATAACATACTTGGGGGAGGGGGGACTATGATCTCAGGTGATCATATCATACTTGTGGGGGGGGGGGGGACTATGATCTCAGGTGATCATAGAATACTGGGGGGGGGGGGGGGAATCTCAGGGATCGTATGGGGGGGGGGGGGGGGTGGTGGGGGGGGGGGAAAACTATGATCTCAGGAGATCGTATCATACTTGGTGGGGGACTATGATCTCAGGAGATCGTATCATACTTGGTGGGGACTATGATCTCAGGAGATCGTATCATACTTGGGGGCGGGATTTATGATCTCAGGTGATGACGTCAAATGTAGGTCTAAGAAGACTGAAGTCAATGATGTCAGGTGATCAGGATTACTATCCTACAGAGGAGTGATGTCAGGAGATCAGTGGAGTACACCCGTGCCCTCCCACACTGAGCAGTCACCCCGATCCTGACAAGACACATCTAGACAATAGGACTTCCATAACAATGGGCTGACATCCCCCCCAGCCGACCCTGTGTGATTCTTCCCCTCCAGGGACAATGCTGTGACAACACAGGGCAGCTCTGTAGACACGTTCCTCACATCAATAGAGCCCAGTATGGGGTCTCCCCCTCTTCCCCCCCTCCGGGAGATGCAGCGATCCCCGTGTAACCCTTTCATTCCCCCTACAACTGGTACACAATGACCGGGAGTTCTACCTTCTTGGCTCTTGGCAGGGTGCCGCCGGAGACCATGAGCGCCTTGTACATGTCATCCGTCCGGTAGCAGTCCAGCGCCATGTAGGTAGAGTCAGCCTTGTCCCTTTCCCGGTATATGGTGTGGTGCGGCGGAGAGGTATAGTCCTCCTTGTGATGAAGCTTCTTCAGCCTTCGGAAAGTCATTCCTATCCCGGCAGCAGCAGTCCAGCCAGCACAGTCCCGACCAGCAGCACTCAGCGGCTCGCTCTCTATTAACTGAAAGCACTGAGCAGCGGGCATATAACTGAGTTCGGGGGCGGGGCTGTGCCCGGGTGACACGCCCCCTGCATGCAAGGACACAACTGAAAAGCCTACAGACAGCGGAGCACGTGTGTACTGAGGGGCGACCTGAGAGTGGGGGGAGGCCATTCCTTACACTACTACACCTGATACACTACCCCAGTGTTTCTCCACCTTTATTCAGTCAAGGCGCCCTGTACAATTATGGACAGTCTGTCATCTAAAATGGGAAAAACTCTTCTAATCGTTCTATATAATGCAGCAACATCCACACATGTAGGACACCCCAGCATTAGAGGGGATTTATTATTACAAAGCAAATTATTATTATACAGTATTTATATAGCGCCAAAAAGTTTGCTCAGCGCTGTACATTATAGAAGCAAATACACTTCTGCACACTGGTACTGACTAGTATTCCAATGTTTCTCCCTCAGTTTTTCTCCATCACTGAACTAATGTGCCCCCAGCATTGATGGAGAGGGGCAGGGGATGGTCAAACTAGGATGCTGTGCAGGCAGCAGACATCCTCCTTATCAACTGATGATGTCAATGGTTGTCAAAACGCTGGCGGCTAGAAGGTGGTAATGGTGCACAATGAAAACTATGTGTAAGTTAAAGGCAGGCTTGTTCCACCTGCTGGCTTGTATATAAGTTTTGGGCAATTTTTAGGCATGTTCCAAGGCACCCCTGAAGAAACCTCCAGGCACCCTGCTCGAGAAAGGCTGCATTACACTATTTTACACCGAAGCACGTATCTGCTGATGGGAACATCCTGAGAGCGGGGGAGGTCAGACTACTATACTACACCAAGAGGGGAGGTCAGACTACTATACTACACCAAGAGGGGAGGTCAGACAGTACTATACTACACCAAGAGGGGAGGTCAGACTGTACTATACTACACCATGAGCGGAGGACAGACAGTACTATACTACACCATGAGGGGAGGTCAGACTGTACTGTACTGCACCCTGAGGGGAGGGGAGACAGTACTACACTGGACCCTAAGGGGAGAACAGACTGTATTGTACTGCACCCTGAGGGGAAGTCAGACAGTACTACACCGGAGACTGAGGGGAGGTCAGACTGTACTATTCTACACCCTGAGGGGAGGTCAAACAGTACTATGCTACACCATGAGGGGAAGTCAGACTGTACTATACTACACCCTGAGGGGAGGTCAGACTGTACTATACTACACCATGAGGGGAGGTCAGACAGAACAATACTACACCTGATACAGTACTACACTTCACCATGAGGGGAGGCCAGACAGTACTATTCTACACCATGAGGGAAGGTCAAACAGTACAATACTACACCTGATACAGTACTATACTACACCATGAGGGGAGGTAAGACTGTACTATACTACACCATGAGGGGAGGTCAGACTGTACTATACTACACCAAGAGGGGAGGTCAGACAGAACAATACTACACCTGATACAGTACTACACTTCACCATGAGGGGAGGCCAGACAGTACTATTCTACACCATGAGGGAAGGTCAAACAGTACAATACTACACCTGATACAGTACTATACTACACCATGAGGGGAGGTAAGACTGTACTATACTACACCATGAGGGGAGGTCAGACTGTACTGTACTGCACCCTGAGGAGAGGTGAGACAGTACTACACTGGACCCTGAGGGGGAGGTCAGACTGTACTATACTACACCAAGAGGGGAGGTCAGACTGTACGATACTACACCATGAGGGGAGGTCAGATTGTACTATACTACACCATGAGCGGAGGTCAGACAGTACTATACTACACAAAGAGGGGAGGTCAGACTGTACTATACTACACCAAGAGGGGAGGTCAGACTGTACGATACTACACCATGAGGGGAGGTCAGACTGTGCAATACTACACCATGAGCGGAGGTCAGACAGTACTATACTACACCAAGAGGGGAGGTCAGACTGTACTATACTACACCAGTAGGGGAGGTCAGACTGTACTGTACTGCACCCTGAGGGGAAGTCAGTCAGACAGTACTACACTGGAGACTGAGGGGAGGTCAGACTGTACTATACTACACCCTGAGGGGAAGTCAAACAGTACTATGCTACACCATGAGGGGAAGTCAGACTGTACTATACTACACCCTGAGGGGAGGTCAGACTAAACTATACTACACCATGAGGGGAGGTCAGACAGAACAATACTACACCTGATACAGTACTACACTTCACCATGAGGGGAGGCCAGACAGTACTATTCTACACCATGAGGGAAGGTCAAACAGTACAATACTACACCTGATACAGTACTATACTACACCATGAGGGGAGGTAAGACTGTACTATACTACACCATGAGGGGAGGTCAGACTGTACTATACTACACCAAGAGGGGAGGTCAGACTGTACTATACTACACCATGAGCGGAGGACAGACAGTACTATACTACACCATGAGGGGAGGTCAGACTGTACTGTACTGCACCCTGAGGGGAGGGGAGACAGTACTACACTGGACCCTAAGGGGAGAACAGACTGTATTGTACTGCACCCTGAGGGGAAGTCAGACAGTACTACACCGGAGACTGAGGGGAGGTCAGACTGTACTATACTACACCCTGAGGGGAGGTCAAACAGTACTATGCTACACCATGAGGGGAAGTCAGACTGTACTATACTACACCCTGAGGGGAGTTCAGACTGTACTATACTACACCATGAGGGGAGGTCAGACAGAACAATACTACACCTGATACAGTACTACACTTCACCATGAGGGGAGGCCAGACAGTACTATTCTACACCATGAGGGAAGGTCAAACAGTACAATACTACACCAGTACTATACTTACACCATGATACAGTACTATACTACACCATGAGGGGAGGTCAGACTAAACTATACTACACACCATGAGGGGAGGTCAGACAGAACAATACTACACCTGATACAGTACTACACTTCACCATGAGGGGAGGCCAGACAGTACTATTCTACACCATGAGGGGAAGGTCAAACAGTACAACTATACTACACCTGAGGGGAGGTACTATACTACACCACGAGGGGAGGTAAGACTGTAACTACTATACTACACCCTGAGGGGAGGTCAGACTGTACTATACTACACCATGAGGGGAGGTCAGACTGTACTGTACTATACTGCACCCTGAGTAGAGGTGTCAGACAGTACTACACTGGACCCTGAGGGGGAGGTCAGACAGTACTATACTGCAGTATGAGGGGAAGTTAGACAGTATTATACTACTACACATGAGTGGAGGTCAGACAGTACTATGCTACACCCTGAGGGGAGAGGTCAGACTGTACTATACTACAGGCTGAGGGAGGAGGGGAGGTCAGACTGTACTATATACTACACCATGAGGGGAGGTCAGACTGTACTGTACTGCACCCTGAGGGGAGGTGAGACAGTACTACACTGGACCCTGAGGGGAGGTGAGACTGTACTATACTGCAGTATGAGGGAAAGTTAGACAGCATTATACTACACCATGAGGGGAGGTCAGACTGTACTATACTTACTACACCTTGAGGGGAGGTCAGACAGTACTGTATTATGAGGGGAGGTAATACAGTACTATACTACACCATGAGGGGAAGTCAGACTGTACTATACTACACGATGAGAGGAGGTCAGACAGTACTATACTACACCCTGACGGGAGGTCAGACAGTATTATACTACACCCTGAGGGGAGGTTAGACAGTACTATACTTACTACACCATGAGGGGAGGTCAGATAGTACTATACTACACCATGAGGGGAGGTCAGACAGAAACAATACTACACCATGAGGGGAGGTCAGACAGAACAATACTACACCATGAGGGGAGGTCAGACAGAACAATACTACACCATGAGGGGAGGTCAGACAGAGACAATACTACACCATGAGGGGAGGTCAGACAGAACAATACTACACCTGATACAGTACTACACTGCACCATGAGGGGAAGCCAGACAGTACTATTCTACACCATGAGGGGAGGCCAGACAGAACAATACTACACCTGATACAGTACTACACTGCACCATGAGGGGAAGCCAGACAGTACTATTCTACACCATGAGGGGAGGCCAGACAGAACAATACTACACCTGATACAGTACTACACTGCACCATGAGGGGAAGCCAGACAGTACATTCTACACCATGAGGGGAGGCCAGACAGAACAATACTACACCTGATATAGTACTACACTGCACCATGAGGGGAAGCCAGACAGTACTATATCCACCATGAGGGGAGGCCAGACAGTACTATTCTACACCACAAGGGGAGGTCAGAAAGTACTATTCTTCACTATGAGGGGAGGTCAGGCAGTAGTATACTGCACCTGATACAGTATTACACCATGAGGGGAGGTCATACACTACATTACTACACCAGAGCACATGTCTGCTGAGGGGAACACCAGAGCAAAAAAATACTCTGGTCATAAAGGGGTCATAAGATTTTAATCCCTTCTTGACCAGAGCATTTTTGTGCTATTCATCACTGCGCTACTATAACTGGCATTTGCACAGTGATGCAACACTACCCAAATAAAATTTGTATTATTTTTTCACACAAACAGCTTTCTTTTTTTGGTATGTGATAAGCACTGGCTTTTTATTTTTTGCTAAATAAGATAAAATAGATTGAACATTTTGAAAAAAAAATGATATTTTCTACTTTCTGTTATTATTATACAGTATTTATAAAGCACCAATAGTTCACTTAGCGCTGTGCATTACAATGGGAGCCAATACATGAGACAGTACAATAACAATACAGTGCGGTACACGAGAGGTTC